GCCCAGCTGGAGAAAATAGAGCAGCTGCTGGGACGGCCCTCTAGCTCCCTCTGCTGGGGTGTCAGCTGCGGTGCAGGGGGCTCAGAGTGGGGCAGCTTCCCTCCCAAAGAAAAGGGGGTCTTCCTATTCATTCATTCCCTCCCCTCTCAGTGCAAAGCGAGAATCACAGAGTCAGAAGCAGGGAGGTTTCCGTCTCCTTATGCTTTACGCTCTAAAACAGAAAGGAAGCTGCGGGCAGAGAGAGCCGAGGGAGGTGGCCGGGGGGGGGGAGCCTTGAGAGCAAAACCAGGTTTCTGGGAATTTCAGGATTTTGCTGCCCGTTGATGAGGGAGGTGAAAGCCCAAGGCAGGAAAGGCGGCCTTTGAGGAGAGGTTGGAAGAAAGGGGAGAAAGGCAGTCGGTGGCAGGAATGGACCAAACCCAGACCTTGCGGTGGCAGGGGAGACAGAAACGAGCAGTGCACCCCTCCGTTTTGGGGGAGCATCCCATCCTCCTGAAAATCGGGACCCCCAGAAGTCATCCAGCCCACCTCCCTGAAAGAGGAAGGAAACCCCGAGAGCCCCCCGCCCGCCCACCACAAAGGAGAAGGCCAGATCCTGAGCTTACAGGGCGAGAGGGTGTCTGCCGCACATTGCCCCAGGCCAGGAGGGGCGATGCTGTTGGTCCCAAGCAACCGCTGGGGCTGTTGGGCTGGCAGGAGGTTGCAGGAGGGGAAGGGAGGGGAGTAAGGAGAAAAATGCCCCCAGGGAAGCGGTGTGTGTGTGTGTGTGAGACTGCGGGGTTCGAGCTGACGAAGGAGAAAAGGAGTGTCCCAAAAAGCATGATTTCCATAGGTCTTTGGCCCACCCCTTACGTAGGCCACGTTGACATCCCTTCTTCCTCCCTCTCCTCCCCCAGGGCCGGCATGTCAAGACGGGCCAGTTGGCTGCCATAAAAGTCATGGACGTCACAGAGGTAGGGGGCGTGGTGGGAGAGTGCGCGTGTGCGTGCGTCCGCGCATTTGAGTGACCCCGGTGTGCCCGTTTGGACACCCAGGAAGGTCCAGACGAGACAACACCCCAAAGGCCCGAGACCCCCCCCCCGGGGAAAGGTGGCTTGTCTGATGCAACAACCTCGGTCCCAGCAAAACCCGGGGTTCCCCCTCCCTCCCTCCCCCCTCCCTCCCCAGCTGTGGCAGTCACGGGGCAGCCACTGTGGGGCAGCAGTGCTCTCAGGGTTGGGGGCACCCACTCTTCTGAAGCCAATGGCGCCTCCTCCTCCTCATCCCCCTGGCAAGGACGAAGAGGAAGAGATCAAGCAGGAGATCAACATGCTGAAGAAGTACTCCCACCACCGCAACATCGCCACCTACTACGGGGCGTTCATTAAGAAGAGCCCCCCAGGGAACGACGACCAGCTCTGGGTGAGACGAGACAAAAGCAGGGGCTGCCGTTCTTGGGGCAGGAAGCCTGAAAGGCCGACCTCCACCCCAGGGATCCCTTTTTGCAGGAGGGAGGGAGACCTTCACGGTGCCCCTAGGCCAGCAACCTCCCTCAACCCCCTTTTCTAACACCCCCTCTCTTCCTTCCTTCCTCTCTCTGGCCTGCTCCCAGCTGGTGATGGAGTTCTGCGGCGCCGGCTCCGTGACAGATCTGGTGAAGAACACCAAGGGCAACGCTCTGAAGGAGGACTGCATCGCCTACATTTGCCGGGAGATCCTC